AAAAGCGATCTACAAAAGGACGCAAGCAATTTCGACGCTCATACTTCAAACCGGCAGGTACAGGCAAAATTTGAAGCTAGTTTCTAGTCAATTCAGAAAGTGATGTTTGGCACTGTGGGCTACCGGCCGCGGGCCCAATCCGTCCTTCACTGCCGTGGTGTTTTAGCCCTGCGGGGGGGTCCTTTAACCGGAGCTGCGCAGGACGAAAGCGAGCTGCAACAAGACGCAAGCAATTTCGATGCTGGCAGTGCAGAACGGCAGGTAAAGGCAAAATTTGAAGCTAGTTTCTAGTCAATTTAGAAAGTGACGCTTGGCACTGTGGGCTGCCGGCCGTGGGCGGGCCCGATCCGTCCTTCACTGCCATGGTGTTTTAGCCCTGCGGGGGGGTCCTTTGACCGGAGCTGTGCTGGACGCAAGCCAGCTGCAAGAGGACGCAAGCAAGTTGGGAGCTGGCAGTGCAGGAAGCCAAGCAAATGGAAGGTTTGAAGCTAGTTTCTAGTCAATTAAGAAAGTGACGTTTGGCACTGTGGGCTGCCGGCTGCTTTCAGTTCAGAAAGTGACGTTTGCCATAGATCATTGTCCACACACAGTGCTTCGCGACTTTTCTACCTTTTCGCCACCTGCATCGTCTTTCTTCTGACCCTTTCTCTTCTCTGATCTTCTTGCTTCTTCTCTGCTCTTCTCTGACTCCTCCCATCTCTGCTTTTCCATCTGTCCCTCTTGTGCGAAGTTTGACTTCGAAACTTCCTTTGCTTGCATACATTTTAGATGTTCTGTTGCGATGAGAAAGCACAAGAAGCAAGCGACGAAACAAGATTGCGCACCTGCGCCGGCGTCCGTTGGTCACTCAGTTTCCCACAGACATGAACCTCCAGTGTCCAGGGGTCGGCGGCAGAGGGCGTAGCCCTTTATATTATTTCGTTTAATTTTTATTAATTATTTAATAATTATTTTATGTTTTTTTTCTTCAAGCTCGATATGCAAATAATGTCAACACCTGCAGGATCTGCAGGATCTGCAGGATTCTATTGTAGTAAATGGAGCAATGATGAACAGGACGAGTATTGACTTTACTATTGTGGAACAAATAACCTGCACAAATTTGGTGCTGCCAAGCAGCCCATAACCTGTGTCTTGGAGTCAGCATTTCATGCCACAATTCTCTTGATCGAAAAATAGCACAGCGACCAACTTCTGGAAGGACGTCCTTGCTTGGCATCAATGATGCTGCTGTTGAGCATTTCATTGCTGCAAATTGCTGTGGTGTACGCATCTGCAAATCTGTCCTTAAAGCATCTCTTCTCCTCCTCTGGATCCCCTGCACAGTGAGCTGCAGCTTCCAGTGGGCTGTGCGCAGTTGCTGGAGTTGCTGGTATCTGTTGTACTGTCTGATGCAACAGTAGCAAACTGTGCCTGATTTTGGATCATCTGCTGGCTGAACCTCAAAGTCTCAGAAATTCCATCTAGATTTTAGATCCAACAAAGATCAACAAAGATCAACAAAGATCAACAAAGTCCAAATATTCCAAATAGCAACCCACAGCACACGTGAAGTCGCGAAGGTCTTGGGATTCCCACCGGATCCTTTGGATCCTTTGGATCGTGGATGATGGCCTCACTAGCGTCGATACGGGCGCGGAGGGCACCGCCATCCTCTGACAACACGGCAGTAGTTGTGTGAGATTTCGTGATTGTGAGATATTGTGAGATTTGACTCTTGTTTGTATGGTACTGATCTTTTCATCTACCAGTTCTCACAGGCTGTCCTCCATCTTCCACTGATGTGCCAAGAAGAGGGAAAAGGTCAGCTCTCTTCCAGCAGCTCCACTGTCGCAAGCGAAGTCGCGATGGAGTTTCTCGCGTCCACCTTGGCAAATCTCCCGTTTGTCACAGCTCCATACAGTGGCCATACAGCTCCAAGAACTTACGTAACTAACGCATCTCTTTGGGCATGACTTCATCCTGCAGTCCTACATAGTCCTACATAGTCCTACAGTCCTACAGTGCGCTTCTTTCCGAGACACCAGGTGGAATGCATACCAAGTGCGCCATTGTCGGCACTTTCAGCTTTGTTGCATAGCCATGTCGGAGAAACTCATGTGGTAAACCGAAGAGTATCCGCAATGCATGCCTTGGAAGCAGGATGGACCTTACAGTGAACATAAACTTGAAACCAACAGCAAATGCAGAATCCACTGTACTGGATTCAGCACTGACGGGCAAACAGGGTTATCAACCGTTTGGCAAAAAAACATCAAAAACCAGCTGCACCTGATGTTGATCATAAAGTATCATGAAGTTGCAAATGGAATGGTTTTTGTGAACCAACATGAACTGGACACCATATTCATCTGGCCGCCGGAAAAGATCCTGGAAATCTGGAAATAGTTCTGGAATGTTCTGGACATTTGACCAAGGCACTCAAGCTCAGGAGAGGTTCCTTGTCTCGCAGGAAATGGCAACCAACACTCGAAGATGCCATCTGCAGGCCCCTGACGGGATTTCTGTGTCGACTCCCACTCGTTCTGTCATCTCAAGACCAAATCTTCAGCATCGAGTACAATCTTGGCAGTGCCGCTTGCGAAAATCCTTTATGATCTTTATTGAAACTTTATTGATTGACTTTGACTGAGTGTGTGTTTCATTCCTGCCCCCGCTCGCACCTGTGCCAAGGACATGGCACCACTTTGTTTCCAGAACTTCTCCTCGCACTCCTGTACATGCTAGGTAAGTTGCATATGTCACCATTACATTTCAGTGCTAGGTATACTAGTGCTGTTCATGATGTAACTTCATAGAGACACACTTTCACATCTCCAACTCTTCATACAGTGGCTACAGCGAGAATGGATCCTGAAGACTACCAGTGGGAATGTCGTCCTTTCCTTTGATACAAATACAAACTGATATAGGATATTATAGGATGATATTGGATATTGTTGAAAACTTCAGGACCCCGGAATTCTCTTGAAATGCTTCACAATATTTCACAATCATACTCTACTTGACTTGGAGGAATCCCCCCAATCTTCAGCTCCCATCTCCCGGGTCTCCAATGGTCTCAAGGAGGGTCTCAAGGGTCTCCTGATGGATGGCTGTGGCGATCTCCTCATCCAACAAACCCTCAATCGTCACGAAGCCTCTTTGTGCAACGCGCGACACCTCACCCGCGAAACCGCGAAGGATCCGAAAGGATCCGAAAAGCGCCGTCCCGGACGGTGCATCCGACAACTTAGGAGCGGGCAGCAGGTTCAAGGCCATCCAAATCACCCTCTTGCAGTGCAAAATCTGATGGTGATCTTTGTTGCAGGATTCCTCCAGCAGATAAGATATGATAAGATCAACATGAAACATGATTTGAATATATTTCATTATATTTCATTATATTTCGGTCATTTCAACGCACTGCTGCTGGTCCTGCGCGGAAGTGATTGTTTGCTAAGTCCAACCTCAGCAAACGCGGATCAGCTGAGGCTGAGCCATGGCAGTTGGTTGCAGCAGAAACAACGGACAACTAGGAATCTGTTTATAACTTATATAAACTATAAAATACTATAAACTACCAGCTGCTTCATATTAAAAAATCGGCATCATAGATTCCCATGGCGAGGCGCTGGTCGGCAGATCCGGAGATCCCTCTCTGAAGGATGGCCATAATCACCTCCTTCATCAGCTCCTGCTACGTTTTTTGGGATTGGTGGGCTATGGTCATCCCACCACTTAAGGGATTCCTATGGGATTCCTATGGGATTCCTATGAGATTCCTATGGGATTCCTATGGGATTCCTTACAATGGAGACATTTTGTTAAATCTGTATGTTCGGATATTGGTGACCATTGCCTTTCCTGGGCAAATAAACCATGTTTTGAACACAGTATATACATATATCATAGTAGCATGCATACATCATATCCCCATCCTCATCCCATTTTTGATTACCAATGTGGGACTTATCCATGGTACTGTAATAGCGCAGATGGGGAAATATGGGCGTATAGCGATATACTGCGATATTACTTCACCAACGAATCGATCAATTGGAGTAAAACTATCAAAAGGGTGGTAAGCCCAACAAGGTATCATTATCCCAATTTCATCAAAGCATGGATTTATTGTTGGGTTTATCATATATTAGTAACTGAGGGGAGTCATGGCCAACATGCTTTTCCGCAATCAAATGGTGCACTAACCAGAAAAATCTAAAAGACTATGAATCCAAAAAGAAAAAAAACATATATAATATATATATACGGTACCATTACCGTATATATATATATATATATCATAATATATCTGCAGGTTGAACCGGATCTTTGTTCGATTTGAAGGATCCAGAGTATTGAATCCCGGTGCACAATCGTTGCAGCCTCTCCCAGTTTCTCAGCTGCAAAATCCTCCTGGCAGCGGCAAACAAGTGAAATTCTATGCTCTTAGTATCTTTGGGAACAATACTCTCTCGGTAGAAATATCTGGAACGGTAATTATGGAGTCTCACGAAAAAGCAACTCCTTGCAAGAACCACATGTTCACAAATTTCCAGAAGTATCCAGCAGCGAAGTTTTGCGGCAAACAAATCATAGTGGAAGCCTGCTCACCACTCTTGGCGCTGATTCGCGACAAGATTTGCGAATGATACTCTTCCTTCAATGACATGACCTTGGCTAATTAAAATCAATAGCTGCTCCAATCCTGCGTTCGTGCTCAGATTGTTTGGCACATCGCTGATTGTTGCATCTTGTCGCACAGCAACTTCATGCAAGTTGCTTTGGGAAGAAATACAGCAGGATTGCGGCCAGATTCTTGTATGACCGTCATCATCTTGGCATTGATCTCTTTTGTCTCCCTCAGAAGTTCCTGCCTGGAAAGTGCAGAAGTGGTAGTGTGTTCTGATTGGCCATCATCCTAAATACATCTAAATACCATCTTCAAACTTTCAAGATCTTTCAAGTGTGTGGCTCAAGCTATGTCCATATAGTCCTGGTATGTCCTGGTTATGGTTCACCAAAATTCTTGTTGACACGTGTTGCAGCGCGCCTAAACTGCTGATCTGATTCAGGCTCTTCCAAATCTTCCTTTGTGACAGTCACTGGAGGCTCTACGAAACTCTTTGGCTTCGGTTTCGCCTTGGGCAAGGCTTGGATCGAATGCATGGAAACCACTTGACAAACATTTGGCTGTGGTTCAAACACACGGTTAAATGAACCAACAAACTTTGCATTTTAATCTACAGCAAAACTATCAAGTTTTTTTGGGTTAAACACATGATCTATACAAAACCAATTTCCAGACTTCACACAAAGAACAATCAATTTTCATCACTTTTCCCACTCAATCCAATGGTTCAACATCTAATAATCACATCTGTCACTCTGGAAGCGAGTCATGTTCCAGCAATCTGAATGGTGACGTTTCCACATTTGGAATGGATACAATCTGAATGAATCTGATGGATTCTTGATGAAAATTGATGGATTCTTCGGCCTCCTTCTCTGCCAATCTGGACAGCTGAATCGTAGCTTCCGCTGGCTCTTCAGAGGGCTTGCGGCAAATGTTCCTGAGTGCCCACACAAAAAATGGAAACTGTTGACAAATCACGAATCATGAATGTGAATGAAGTGTTTGGAGCGTTTCACTTTCACACTAGTGAGATTGCTGGGTACTTCTAAATCATCATTTCCATGAGTCAGGATTGGGACTTTAATTTGGGAAGCAATCATTCGATTCGGGCAAATTATATATTATCCAATCATGATATATGATTGATGTACCGTTTCGGGCAAATGATATATTATCCAATCATGATATATGATTGTATATGATTGATGTACCGTAGGGTCAACAAAAATCAAACAAGCTGCTTGTGAGTCTTCCATGCATTGTTTTGGCACTCCCGCGAGCAGTAGAAGGCACTCTTGCAGCGACCGCACTGCAGAAGCTTCTCAAACTCCTTTGCTGCCAGGCCCTTGCTGATGGAAACCCAGAAGAAAGGTCTTGGTTCACGGGGGTTCCGGGTTTCTGGTGACCCCTAGTGAGAACGCTTGAAAATGATCGAAAGGTATGTGTATGTGCGTGCTACAAGTACACCCTGATTGCAACACATCCTCCCTCCATTCGCTTTGCACCATATTTCTGATGCTCCTTGTCACACTTGTCACATCGTGGTAGCAGCGTTGCCATCCCAAGACCAGTCAAATCATCTGTGGGTCTGTGCCCTCCCTGAATTTCCAAGTACTGCCTACTGTTCATCCCTATTGCACTGAGAGCGAGAGCTAAAGCACTGTGGGACCTATCTGATCCTTGATCCTCTGCTTTTTCATTTGGTCTTGTTTGGACTGATGCTTTGGGAGCCATCATTGACAAGCGGCACACCACACCCGCTGTGCCCACAGCCCCAAAAGCAAAACCAAGCAGCAGAATCACCAAACACTGATTGGACCACTCTACATTATCCCCGGATACGTTACATATTGCTAGCTGCTATATACACACAAGCAATAGTAGTTTGCTTCAAAATCTTCAAACATTTGGCGATTCTTCGGCGAGTTCAGCGAGCCAGTTTTTTTTTTGCAATCGCTCTTTGAACACACTTCGAGCCATTTTGTATACCTGCAACAGCCAGCAACTTCAAACAAAAAACAACCTGCATCATCTGCGCGCGCTGCAAATGGCTGGATCAACTTCAATTCCACTGGATGATCAGTGCTTCCAGAGGAGCCTTGCGCAAGTCGTGTGACTGGCCCTGGGCATCCGCCTGCTCTCACCAGCATGGAAGGGGTTTCTGGTCAACATTACCCATGGGGGCATCATGTCCTGCAACTATCGGTATAGATTACAGTGTATACTTTACGGTTTTCATGACTTATCCATAAACATCCATAGGTACCCATAAATCAGAAGTATCCACAATTGTAATATCAAAGGTCTTCATCAAACCAACCATAACTAGGTGCTTAGGTGATAATGAAAGCACAAGTACCCATGAGTGATATGTGAAGATTCTTCACCATTGATAAGCGATGTTGTAGCTTCCTGTAAACGAACATAGATGTGGAAAACCCACCATTTGATACCATTTGCAGATCACTTTCCTAGGGAAACCATAGGTTTCCACATCTATGTTATTTTCCCCAGGGTAAATTCCCAACATTTCCCAACAAACATGGGACATCATGGTACATCTACTCCGATCATCTCCGATCCCCTGTGGCCTTCCACCAGGTTTCCTCCCAGACGTTCGTCCAAAGCTCCTGCAGCTGAAATAAGAATCGTCCGAGCACAGCTGATGCTCCAGCTGCACTGAAATCAGAAACAGCTTGGCTTAATATGTCAAAATGTCATGACATGTCACATCATCTCATCACATGTCCTGTTTTGCCTGCACTTTTGCTGCCTCTGAGCTTCTTTTCTGCTTCTTCGAGCTGGAATCCTGTGAGCTGACGTCACATGATATATCAGCAAAAGGGTAAGAGTGTGACAGGTGGTTCCGATGAACTGTTCAGTGTCAGAATTGCCAATTATTTGCTGCTCTGCCGAACTTCCGCAGACATGAGCGGAGTATCTTTTTCAAAGTATTCAAACGCAAATTGCTGCATGCAAAGCGGTACAGCATTTGATCAAACCTTTCCATTGAGTGGCAGTCGTTTATATACACTGCTTTTCAAGAAGCAGTCGCACGCAGTCCTTCATTGTGCCAGTGCTTGCGGCTAACGGCTGAGATAGCTCTTTGGCTGGTGCTTTCTCTGCAGTGGATGATTGAAGCTCCTGAGGGCTCCGGGCTCTCAATGCAAGGGACTTAGCAACATTGGCCAGCAACATAGACCTGCAAAAGTCACAGGAGGGGGAGACAAGCAGCACAACAATGTAGACCCGTGGTCCTTTGTCACAAAGCTGTTGACCTTCAATGCAGCTTTGCTAGATTTGGGCACTTTGTCCTCCTCAACAAGTCAGTCCCTTGCTGGAATACTTCAAGCGTGCCACCCTGTGAAATCTTGGCCAGCAAACCCTGAAAATGTGGTTGGCCATTGTAATGCCGTTTGATGCCCAACATTTTATCTTATATATTCTGTAAAGGTGAAGAGTGATGATGTCACAATTTGCTGGTTCTGTGCTGTCTGAACTTCAAGCTTAACATTTTTTTCCACAAGTGTCCGGCGACCAATCGTATCCTGCTTACAATCGGAGCTTGTTTTCCGCTTCTTCAAACTGGCGTCCTGCTTTCAACTGACAGATCAACAAATCACAAGAAAGGGGCCAAATGCTGTCTAAATAGGCGTCACCATTGTTGCAATAAACTGTTCAGCATCAAGTGTCCCAAAAAGTCCTCCAAAGGTCTGCTCCTCTTCTGATCGTCCTAGGGCACAGGTACATCATGCGGGTGGGGTACTTTTTCCGAGTTTTTCGCTCCAAGGACCAGCTGATTGTGTGCACTTGGAGCATCGTGTTTGCATTGGTTCGCATGCACAAGCAGTCAGTCCTTCATTGTGCCAGTGCTTGCGGCTGACGGCTGAGATAGCTCTTTGGCTGGTGCTTTCTCTGCAGTGGATGATTGAAGCTCCTGAGGGCTCCGGGCTCTCAATGCAAGGGACTTAGCAACATTGGCCAGCAACATAGACCTGCAAAAGTCACAGGAGGGGGAGACAAGCAGCACAACAATGTAGACCCGTGGTCCTTTGTCACAAAGCTGTTGACCTTCAATGCAGCTTTGCTAGATTCGGGCACTTTGTCCTCCTCAACAAATCATTCGGATCCAAAACATCTTCTCTTATCTTTCTCTCATTCTTTGATAATCCAAAGACACATGGACGAACTATCCAGCTTTACCACCTAATTGGGCAGAGCCCCTCCAATCACTGGCATCGATATCAATCGCCCTGACTGGGCTCCTCTGGGAGATGATTCTGCGTCGACTGGGTCAAGGTTGGAAACCTTTCAGGCATGACTCGACATGAGGAAACTCCGATCCTAAGACATCTTAAACTTAGAACCAGTTGGATCAGTTCTATCCCATTCTTGGTATCCTTTTGGGGTCTGAAATAAGCACTTTTCATGAAGAATGGGCTGATGCTTCTAGTGCTGCCAAAAATCTTATTGCGCATGTGGTGCTGCTGCAGCATGCCTTACTGACAAAGGGCTTGCTTGACATCGCAGATATGCACAAGACCCTTTGCACAATCAATTGTCTACACTTGGCTGCCACGTCGCTTTACACATCTTTACAATTTTTGCGTTTCACTCCAGCATCTCCAGTCCGGGTTTCTCTGTTGACTGCCAAGTATTTTCCAGTTTCTTGTTGGGTCCTTCACGTCATAAGCTGTGACCCAGAAACAAAATCACTCGAGAAGATGAATGAAGATGAGGTATGATCAGGTTTGCTGCCTGGTTGCTGTGCAGTTCACTCACCACTTCTGAGCAATCTGCAGATTGGCCCTCACAGGTTCCAAGGTCATGTGTGCAAAACGGGCAGATGCAAGTTGTGGAGAAGGATGGTGAGCAAAACCACAAAACCATCATCTTGTTCTAGCTGACGATGAGACTGTGCTGTTTATGGCGGTAATAATGTACAGAAACAAGCAGCATGCAATATTTGCACATACTTAGTTACACCAATGATGATTCCTTTGTCATAGACGTAGACTTATGTAGATAAAGTAGCTGCAGTGTGCATAAATGCAGAATATGTTTGTCTGATCAATGCGAGTAAACTTTAACAATCTAGAACCTTTTTGGGTCTGCTCCCTTCAATTTGGTTTCAGAACCTTCAGGCACCTGGTCCCCCGATGATTTTCAGCACGCCGGATCAAAATCCAGCCCACCACAGTCCCACCTTTGCTAAGATCAACGCTCGCAAGAGCGCACATCCAGGTAAGTCGCTCAAGGCATCCGCCTGTCGGCCACCAGGCACTTTTAATATCCAAGTGGTAGCAGGATCTGAAGACATCCTAAGGTCACCACCTTCACCCCGGCCGCAAAACCGTCATGCTAAAACATGCTAAAACATGCTAAAAACAATGTCCTGGCCTCAATGTATTTTTCTTGCAGCTTCTTGATCCGTCCAGCCTTCCAAGTTTTCCAGGCTACAGGATTCTGACGATTTTCGAATTGTGCAAGCGCCTCTGCAAAATCCTCTCCCATCACTGCTTCCTTTTTGAATTCTTCCAACCTCAAGGGAAACACTGGCTTGCTGCGGTGGAGATCCTATTAGAATCTCCGTCCTCCCTTGTCCTAAGAGTTCCTAAGTTTCCGATAAAACAACAGAAAGGGGCCAGCAACTTGTGCCTGGGCTATGCATTTTTCTCCAAATATAGCAGGGAGATCTTGACTCCAGCTGATTCCAGCTCCCGACAGCTCCATGGCAGCAATGACTGGCTACGCTGCAGCCAAGAGACTGCTGGTGACTACTTGCTGGTCTGAAAGTGACCGCCTTTTCAAGCACTTGGCCATGGTCAAAGTTGCAATGCATTGAAGGATTGGGCATACAAGATGAACCTGACCCCCCATACTGATCTGCCTGTGAATAATGGCTCCTGCGCTTGTGGGACAATTGAGACATTAGACACCAATATGCGGATCAAAACCATTCAAAACCATTCAAAACCTAGCATATCATAAATCATATTCAAGCGGATAAATATCAATTTACATCCATTTACCAAATGCATTTTGGTATTCACTTAGTGTAGCAGGGTTTTTTGACCCATATCCATATCACCGCCACCTCCTGCTCGGCGCTGCAAATTTCTTTCTGAACTTCTGCTTCTGACTTCTTCAGTCGAGAGGCTTCGGCAAAGTCCTGCAAGCCGCATGACTGCTGGATCATTTCGATCATCTTTTCCCCAAAGAAATTAGATTCTACCCTCTGGTAATTTAACATAGCTATTGAAAATCACCATTTATTGTGGATTTTCCCATTGAAAATGGTGATTTTCCATAGTTTAGTTATGTTAGTTTACCAGAGGGTAACTGTGTTTAAGTGCAAAACATACATCTTAGATCATCTTAGATAATCTTAGCAAGTACCGCATCTTTGCAGATCCCAGCGCTGCCGCGCAAACCTTTTTAGCTCGTTTCCAAGCCGCTGGCTGAACCGCAATTCCACACAGAATTGACGGAAGAAGGTGGACACTTCCGGCCCAGCTCGCACATCCCCTGCTTGAGCTGCACCATTGGTGTTTTGCCTTCTGCCCCAGGCGATCGTCATTGACGCTGCCTCACCTTACCATGTTATGATCGGATCATTTGAGCCGTTGGTCCAAGACGGCCAACAACTTTCGAAGCTTTTCAGGCGATGGCATTTTGCGCTTCGCCGCCAGGCTCCGTTTCAACATCTCATGAATCTGCTTGACAGCCACCTCGGCAATCTTGTCTTGAACCACAAAGGGGCAATATCTGCCCAGCCATGTGGTCATCTGTGGCTCAATCTCGTTCACAAAAATTCTCCAACCTTCCTTCTTGGTCTTGTCTGGCACCACTCCAATGTCAATTCGATTCAGCAAAGAATTCAAAGGCTTTCCTTCCCACTTGTGCACCTTCTTTACCTGCTCCATGGTGCGAATAGCCAACCTCACAATCCGAAGAAAACAAAAAACACCGTGATAAACTGATAAACAAGCTCAAAAAATGATGGACATCAGTCCTAAACACACCTAGAAAGGACTTTCTCAAACTCTTGCTTGAATCATTCGTCCTGAAGAGTCTCAGAGGAAACAGTATCTATTCATATCTGTGGTTTCAAACATCATGGACAAGAAATAATCTGTTCTCCTGTGTTCTCCTGCAGCGAAGGCACTTCTTGCAAGCTTCCTTCAACTTGCCTTCAGGCTGTTCCCAAAAGCCTTCGTAGTCAACCCCATCGGTGTAGACAGAATAGGCCCACTCACCGTCAATGAAGAAATTACGAATCTCATCGAAGACATTTCCATTCGGTTTCAGCACATATGGCTGGACCAGGAACCTCATTTATCCCAAACAGCTGCCTGGGAAGTGGGCCGCAAACGCCGCAAACCCATCTGGAAAGCACTTGCTGGGGTTGCTGGGGCTGGGCCCGTTGCTTCATGGAGATTCTCATGATTTATCACAAAGATAAATGGCTGAATGGCAGTAGCAACCTTGATCGATAACCAATTCTTGTGGAATATTTTGGATGCCAAGCAGCTCCTTCTGCTGCTTGTTCTCTGCCTCATACTGCAGCAGCGGTTCGATGTTGTCCAGAAAATCCTGTGTCTTACCTGAGATGAAACCATTCGAAGCATAAACCATGGGTGAAAGAAAAAACTGTAACTGTAACTACCCCACAAACACATTATCATATAATATATATATATATTTATACACATATTAAATATTATTAAATCATATTAATATGTTGTATTATACACTATATTAATATACGTAATACAATGCACAATATAATCATAGAATATCATAGAAGTATCATCAATATGTGTCGCAACCAAGTTGCCATTGATAACACCAGCACCAAAAAAGCTCATGTACGCTGGCTTCACAAAAAACTTATCCCAGCCCTTTGCCACGATCTTCTTCAAGACTTCCCGAGCCTTGAAGCCATTCTCCACATGGATGGTGTCAATCATCGGAATGCCTGCCTTGGTGCATTGCTTCATGTAGCGCGACTTGTGCATGATCCATTCATAGTAATCCCACACGGGGTGGTGTCGAGTGTTCGGGTTCTTTTGAATCTTTTGTATCCTCCTGCGATGCGTCAAAGCTCTGCCTGGATCCTCATGAAGTTTCCACTCAGTATCTGTCAGTATCTCTCCAAAAAAACAAAGATATTTACAGATATTTACAGATATTTTTCTTATGTATTCTGAATATTCTTATGTGAGGTTTCAATGGGACTTCACATGACTTTGGCCGTTCTGCCGTTCCAATTCCCATGAACAACGTTTCCACATGTTTCCACTGTGACCTGGCGAGTGCAGGCTTTCCGTTCATCAGGGCAATGCTCATGTCGCCCCAGAAGTTGAAAGTGATGTGGTTCTTGGCCAGTCGCTTCTCAGTCATCTGCTCCATGGTCATAAAATCCACATGGAAAATGTCAGGATGCAACCTCATGATCTTGAGGCCTGCAAGCGATGGAAAAAAAAACGTGGCTGAATACACTAAGGTGGCAAGGTGGGACGTCCAATCACATCTTGAAACTCTGGCGCCACCACATAGTATGAACGCCTTTTGAACATGTAGGAACATGTGAACAACACACGAAAGTCCTTTAAATATCGAAATGAGCACCTCTCCTGCCCACACCATGCCTGTGGACACATCCGCCATAAATTGACCACCCCATCCATCAGCGTTGGGACCAGTGTTGTTTTTGATCTTCAACTGCTCCTTGAGTACTCAGCGAATCTGGATTCAAACAAACCCTCAAAAGCGACTGCACTCCGTGTGAAGAAAGAGAGCTAAGGACCTCGTGCTTAGTCGTCTCCATGAACTTGGAATTATACCATATGGAATCTACCCAGCATGCACTCAGTTACTTCTGCCACAACATCTCTAGCACTGTGTCCATCAAACATAATTCCAGCATGACAACTCCTGAAGCATAAGTTGATATAACTTGCGCCCAGTTCAACTTAGTCTACCAGGACCAAATGGTCCATGTTTGAATTAGTCTGTGTTGAATCCAACCATTGACCATCAGATTTGACATCAATTTTGATCAAACATGACCAAACCATTGACCAAGTCCATCCAATTCGAGCATGAGAACCTTATACCAATTCAACCACCCCAAAAAGCTACAACATTGGTTCATCCAATCCAACCCGTCCGGGGCACATCAGAGTACGTTTTGATTGGCACCACTCCCTTCCTGCTTAGCACCACTCTGGCCACAGTTAGCACCACTCCCTCCCCAGTTACTTTCCACTACCAGATGGGATTTTTCCGTGACTCTTCCCTCTTGAGCCTGATGTGACTTAAGTACAGCTCTAATAGTCTTCGTAAATAAGGTAAAATCAAATCTTCGCTACTAGAATCCTGATTTCATAATTAGAATATTGTTTTCGCAATTGCACCGTGCTCTCCATCCCGGACCCATCCAATTTCGTAGTATTTCGTCCCATCAAATGAGCGTATTTTTCGTTTTAACTAGTACAGTCATTATCCTCAAAATTGCCCATGCAACGCCTACGCGGCGGCTACGCGAAGTGCACAGCAGCCTACGCGCAACGTAGTTTACGCGAAGGTGCCTACGCAAAGCCTACGCGAGACTCCGCAGACTGGACGATCCCCACGGGGGATGGATCGCGGATGGTACCCTTTAAAAAAAACCTGCTCAAATGATGGTCCGAGGCGCCGGATAGTTGCGGTCTTGCGTTCCCTGCCTGATGGGGTCAAAGACCTGATGGCGGGGTCACGCGAAAGCAATGGAAAATCATGGCAACTCAACCATTGATTGAGGATTTCCGTTCCAAAAATGGAGGTGAAACATGGGGCAGGCTTTCTTAGCAACGTAATTATTGCATGATTTAAAACAAACTTAGCCGCGTAAGCCCTTTACCCACGTACTGTTGCGTAATTCTCCTATGTATTCCAAGTCAATCAAATTGTACCGGGAGACCCTTCCCTTTTCATCAAACGGTACCGGGAAATCATCAAATTGTACCGGGAGACCCCAAAAACAGGGAATTCACAAAGGATTCCCACTTGAATTTCGGGTTTCTTCCATTGTCACGGTTAGATTGTCAGAGGGTAGGTGTTCCTGGTGCTTTTCGGCCACTCGAAATCGCACTTTTTATTTCACCAGGTGAATCTGAAAAGTGAACTTTGCAATCGGATTTCTTTCCCATCAACGACTTCCATTTCTGGGTTTCAAACGGTTTCAAGAGCCGAAACTGTCACCTCGAAACGGAAATCAGGAGACGCTCTGCAACTCTGGGCCTTGCCATGAACGATGCCAATGCGGATCTTGAAACCTCCAAGTCCCGTTGGAGTTGTCCTGAGATCAAGGCGAACAATGCTTCACAAGCCCCAAAAATGGATGAATGCCACAACTAATCTGTGAGTCCCAGTCCCCCACACACTTCAATCATTCTATTCATTTCTGGCTACATGAAGTACAATCAGAAAATGCATAGCTGGAGATCTTGCAGAACCAACAAGTCCAAACGCATTTTGAATATCTCTATGACCCCAAGCCCTCGGTTTTAAGGGTATAGCCACGGTATAGCTGCAAAAACAGGTACCATCATCTTGGACTCACCGGCCGCCTTTTAGTATTGAACCAAAAAAAAGGGTGACTATTTTTGATGCACTACCCAAAAAAGGGTAGAAATTACGGATTTTACGGATTAACATACTACCAAAATCTACCAAAATTTTTATCCCTTCATCTATCATTCCAGCAAACCCAAGATTTTGACCAATCTCCGAGAGTCTTGGAGGGTGCTTTCTTCATGGTCTTTGCCACCTTTTTGCCCTTTTGGGCTGGCTTCTTCACAGCCTCTCAGGTTATCTCAGGTTAAGGTGAAGGTTGTCAACTGCACAGCCTGGCTGCCATGAACCTAGTAAAACTTGAGGTCGGATTGACGAAAAATCAGAAAGAACAAAGGAAACACAAATCCACATAGCACCTGGCATGAAGCCCTTCAGACTGAAAGCCACTACAAGAACCAAGAACCCATCCCTTGGCATCCTTAACGGTCCATATGGTCCCACATATTTTTCATCCCCGGCATTTTTCAAGGCATCCCTTCCAAGCCTTCACCATCTCGGCTGTTTCTCAACTTGGGGATGACTGAGCCAAATTGCTGCCACTGGACATGGCTGAAGCGTCAAATTCAAACGGCCATGGTCAGCGAAAACGGAAGGGAGCACAACGACCGTTGGCAGATTTGGACCCAAATGGATCAATGTATCATCTTCTGGCAGGATGAACATCTACAACTACCAGCTATTTTGGTGTCGACCCATAGCCATCACCCTTTCACAGGACCACCATGGACCACCCCATCCTCGGCAGTTACGGCTCGCCGTTTTAGCACTTGCAGTCGAGCACTTTGAAACCTCAGCAACGAGCGCTGGCTGACAGAACATTGATTGGGGACGCCACCTGCAACAATATGGAATGGGAGGGATATAGCCTGATATAGCTGACCAACGATGGTTCTCCAACTGTAGAACTTGGATGAACTTGGGATGTATAGCATGTAACCAACCAACCATAGTGGAACATGTAAGATGTAAGCAAAGATGATGTAAGCGGTCTCGATGGGGAATAACCAACAATCCCGGGGATATGTATATGTATATACTGTAACTAGCGCAGACCGGATACAGAAAACAATCCTGCATCCCAACGGCGGCGGAGAGAAGCCAAAACCATTGCTGAAAGCGAAGAATTGACATGAATAATTTTGAATAATTAACATTAATTCACATGGACCATGAGAACGTCATTGCTTCGGTCTTTTCCTTCATTTTCGAAGAAGCTATGAGTAGGTTCATAGGATTTCCCACATTGGATTGTGACAATCCCCCGATGTAATTGGATAGTATATATATATATATGTACTAGTATATATATATATGTGAAATTCACTCATGTAGCAACCTTGCTTTGACTTGCAACCTGACTTGTAACATGTCAGCATATCACCGGCCGCTTGAGCACAGGGCTCAGGCAATAGCGGTGGGAAGCGGTAGAGGATTCTCGGTGGACCGAGACTGTTGCAGCCATAAATCTGTGCGGCGGAGCAGGGCTTCGTGATTGATTTGGCGGGGACCATTTGATTATCTTTTTCTTCAAGGTGAACATCCATTTTGACCCTTCAGGCGAAGGTATCCATCTTAGCAGGGCTAGGAAGTGCTGCCAGTGTGACGGGGGTTGGATCCCTTTCACACTGGTAGCGGAGCCAGTGGGTTCCGACTACCAAAAGTTGCAAGAACCTGGATCCAGGGCGTTGCGAAAACGCTGGCAGTTAGGATGAGTGGCGGTGGTGGCCTACATGTCCCAGTACCAGATGAGGCGCCTCCAGTTTCAGCATCCCAATTGCCGTGGCAGGCAATTCCCAAATTCACCCCTGGCGTAACCAACGTGCAGGATTACGTCAGGAAATTGAAATTCCTGGCCTCGATCTGGCCTCCGGAACACCTGGACTTGTTAGCTCCCAGAGCAGCCTTGCAAGTTGAGGGATCAGCCTTCACCTTGGTATCGAGGCTCGACGGCTCCAAACTTCGAGTCAAATCACTGGATGGTGTGACGCTCTTGGTGGAGACGCTTGGGGGCCAATGGGGTTCAACAGAACTTGAGGAGAGATATGAATACTTTGAAAAGGCGATTTACGCCACAACACAGCGCCATGATGAATCAAATGACAGCTTCATCTCCCGCATGGAGAGCTTCTTCACAGAGTTGATTGCCAGGAAGAGGACACTGGAAGAAATACAGGCCTATGTGTTGCTGAGGCAATCTACTTTGCCGGCTGAGGACAAGAAAAAGATCCTCCTTGAGCATGGTGGAAAACTTTCGTATCCGCCTGTGGTGAAATCGCTGAGACTGATGGGTAGCAAGTTTTTCCATGAGTTCCAGACTGGAAAAGCTTCCACAAAGACCAAAGTGTACGACACCATGTTCTCGGAGGAGCATGGCCATCAGGTTGATGAACAACATGAAAAGCCCATCCACATGAGTTACCATGAGGATGACTATGAATTCGAGGCTGACTACATTGAGGCCATGGTCGCACAGGACGACCCTGATGCTCAACTGGTGCAAAGCTTCGAGGCTGAGTTTGAAGATTTCATCCAGGAAACACCAGAGCTTCATCAAGCGATGATCACCTATGTTGAGGCCCGACAGAAGTTGTTGGACAAGCGCAAAGTCCGAGGCTTTTGGCCTCCAAAGGGTACTGGCAAAGGAGGATTCAAAGGGAAGTGGCAAAAAGGAAAAGGTGGACGTCAAGGACTGCTGGCAAGAATTGCACGCAGCACGTGCCGCATCTGCAATCAGAAGGGCCACTGGAAGGCCGAATGCCCTTTGCGGAACAGCACCAACCAAGGCGCTGTGCCACAGTCATCTTCGACACCAGCCACTGCCAACTTTGCCATTCCTGAGGATGCCGAGCTGGAAGAACCTGAGATCTTTTTGGACGGTGACTTCAGCGAAGAGGACTCTGTAGAAGCATGTTTCACCGCGGTAGGAAATGTTGCAAGTTGCGTTTCTTCCCAAGAACATGTTGTTTTCAACACGATTGAAAATAGGTTGAAGCTGAGAAACCATTTGCATCGTGCTTCTCTTCTGAGACGCACTGCCGCAGAACATGCCCATGCCACCAAGCATCCGTGCCTCCCAAACAAGCTTTTCCCAAAAAGACATGCCATAAACAAGTTGAGTCATATAACATGTGATCGCTCGCCACAGCTGCACAGGAACCTGAACCTGGAGAAGATCAAGACCATGCCGATCCTTCAAGCAAGTGATGAAAAAGGCACCCACGCCATTTTGGACACCGGTGCCAGCCGATGTATCATAGGATCTAGTGTTTTGTGCAAGCTTCTCCAACGTTTGCCTGAGGCAGTTCGCAGTAGCATCAAAGAACGGCCTAGCCAGATCAAGTTTCGTTTTGGAAACAACCAGACTCTAACCAGCCAGAAACGTATGTACTTTCCTTTCCTGAGTCAAAGCCATGAAAGGGTCTGGTTGGGTGTTGAAGTTGTGGAAGGCAGCACACCCTTCCTGTTTTCCAAAAGAGCTTTCAAGCAGCTGGGTGGCATCCTCGACACCACCACCGATCGATGCACCATGAGCCGACTGCAAAAAACAATTGATCTCGAAACAAATGCAACTGGTCTGTATGTCATGGACATTGTTGAGTTTTGCCGAGCACCATGCCCGTCCAGGCACAAACCAGAAAGTCTCATAGGCCACACATGTCATGATGAAAAGCCACCATGTTTTGCAGAACCACCGAAGCCATCCACAATCCCCTGCTGGAAAGGTTTTTCTTCGTTTAAGATGTTGAAGCCCAATGCAGGTTTGAAGATGTTGCCTGAGCAGTGTGCGAAAACCAGCAGCTTTGGTCCGAATCCTGACGAAACGCCCCCAGTGCCTTTCCCAGTGACTTCTGAAGATGGTCACCCGTGCCCAGATGATCAACATGTTGAAAGAAGCCGCCAATGCCATCATGGGGACACTGACCTTGGTCCTCCAGCTGTCAATGAATTTGATCGAGATGAGCCCCTATCAAGAGGAAGAGGAAATGCCTCCAGTGATGTCCCAACAACTGGAAGCAATGTGCCTGGAGCTGAGCCGACAACGCAACCTGCTCCAGGAGATTGTCGAGTTGCAAAAGCACCAAGGTGGCGGCCCGACGGGAAGCCCCGGCAAGACCGGTCATCCTCTCGACCCAGAAGAGGACTCATTCTCGGTGATCAGTTATGGCACCAGATCAATCGAGCCGCCGACAGCCAGACCAAGTCAAGCGGCTGGAGCGCAACATCGACCACTGGCGATCGCTGGCATGCCTTTGGCACAAGTTCCTCAAGTGCCCGTGGAAGGTCCAGCACCCGCCGTGAGTTCGACTCCAATGACATCGGCACCCAAGACAGTCGTACCAGCGGGCAACCCACTGACCCTTGCGCAGTGGGGACAAAAGAAGATTGCTTGGGGAAAGAAGCACACCGGCAAGACCTACTACCAAACCTTGTGCGAGGACATGGGCTATCTGGAGTGGAGCAGGGCTCGATACCTATCGCTGCCGCCTCCACAACAGGACTTTGTGGACTATTGCTGCGCCCAGCTGGAGAACGATGCTCTGATGGCCCGGCAGAATGTCCGGAACAATCAGTTCTGAGTGCAGCTTTGAGAAGCCCTGACCTTGATCCGACGATTTCCTGGCAGATTGAAGATTGTAGACTTGCATGTTCACGTTTTGAGCCATATCATGCAGCCTCTAAGCAAGATGAAAATGTTTTCAATGCCCTGGAATCAGCAATTCAAGTGGCGGATCAAGTAGTCGCTCAGAATCCGCCGGATATGTTGACATCCCGTTGCCACCTGTTGGAGGTATATGCCGGGGAACACAGTCCTCTCACAGAAGCCGCACTTGCCAAGGGTTTAAATGCACGTAGGTTCACACGCCATGATGGGGATCTCTCAACACTCGCTGGCAGACAACGTTTATGGTCTTTGATTGATGAACTTCAACCTGAGCACATTTATGTTGCACCAGAATGCGGGCCATGGGGAGGTTGGAACAGACTGAATGCATCTAAGAGCACTGCACTCTGGAATAAAATCCAAGATGACCGCAATCATGAAAGGATCCATGTCAAACTATGCTCTCAACTTTGCAAATACCAACATGACAGAAAACGTCACTTTCACCTTGAACAACCCAGTGGCTCAGCCATGATTCAAACTCCTGAATTCCAACCGATTCAGAAATTGACACAACAAGCAATGTTTGACATGTGTGCTTTTGGTCTCAAGATTCCCAAAACCAATACTTTCATCAAAAAACGAAGTCAGATATGGACCAGCTCAAGTGAAGTGCATCAATTTTTGGATCAACGAAATTGTCCTCATGATCATGACCATCAGGTGATAGCCGGATCCATTCGGCATGCCGGGGAAAGCATTCGTCTTTCTCGTTTCTGTGCGACTTATTGTCGAGGTTTTGCTGTAGCAATGGCCCATGTGCTCCATTCCGTTCCGACAGTTGGACTTGCGTATGCTGCGGAAGATGAACCTCCTCATAAACGAATCAGAACTAGTGCCGAAGCTTTCAAGAAGCGTAGAGTTGCCAAAACTGCCGAATCCGAGATGTTGAGCACTGGACCTAATGCACCCGGTTCCAAAATTTTGCCTGATGATTCCTTATGGCATGAAGCTTTTCGCATGGCCAATCAACTGGCTCCACGCGTGGGGAATACCAAATTTGAGACTGGCACTGACTTGTATGAGCTTGTTCAAGGTTTGTTGGAATCCAATTTTCAACTGTCATGCGTGTTTGTTTGCCGTGGCACAGACCGGTTACAAACACCTGTCAATGCTCCGATGCCTCAACATGCCCCATGGCGACATGTGATGTCACTTCACCGAGAAACAGGTAAGATTCATGATTTAGGCTGCCATGACTGGCATCAAATGACACGTGCTCAGAGGATTGCAAAGAGCCTTCCGAGTAGATTAACTCTCACCATGTTCGGTAGTAAGGTTGTGATTGCCAGTAGCCTGCCTGAATCCCCTGATCATGTAGTACCGAAAGTTCACAGAGATGAAGCCAGAGATTATGCCCAGCGTGTGAGAGCTGAAGGAATCTCACGATCGACTGTGATGCTGCCTGACGTTTGTGAGGGTTGGGCTCCGCCACCCACTCCACTGCACGGCCCGAACTTTCGAAGTCTTGAAGCTCAAGAAAAATCCCAGTTGGTTTTATTGCACAAGAACTTGGGACACCCAGACCCTAAGATACTTGCAAATCACCTCCAACATCAAGGAGCACCCGATCATGTTGTCAAAGGAGCCCAGGATTTCGTTTGTGATGCCTGTGTAGAGACCCGAAAGCCTGCCCATCAGCGTCCAGCCAAGCTCCAGCATCCGATCGAGTTCAATGACCGAATCGGCCTTGATGCCTTTTACTGGACAGGGAAGGGCAAATTTCAATGCTATGTTATTCACGTGTACGATGAGGCCTCAGGTTTCGATTTAGCCAGAAGGTTGGACGGACAGAACATGGACCATGTCAGTCATACCCGCACTCAAAGACCTATGGATGATATGGGCCGGACCTCCAAAAGAAGTGTATCTTGACCCTGCAGGTGAGTTCAGATCAGATGTTTGGCTTAACCATCTACAGTCAATGAATACGAGTGTACACATGACTACAGAGGCATGGCAACGAGGTCGTATTGAACGACACGGTGGCATCATGAAACACATGCTGCATCGCATGGATCAGGATCGTCCTATTGCTGACCTTTCACAGTTTGATGAAGCTCTCAGAATGTGTTGCCAGGCCAAAAACCAACTGACTAGAGTTCGAGGATATGCACCTGAACAAATAGTCCTAGGAAAGTCTACAAGACTGCCTGCTTCCCTGGCATCCGATGACAGTGTCGCTGCCCATTCTCTTGCCGCTGGAAGCGATCTAGAGAGCCAGACGTTTAAGGAATCACTGGATCGCCGGACACAGGCCAGACAGGCCTTCATACAGGCAGAAAATTCAGAGGCGATCCGACGAGCGTTGCTGCGAAGATCATGTCCGACAAGAGGACCCTTCATGCCGGGACAACTAGTAATGTACTGGACCAAACGTCAAAAACCCAATCGTGCTGAAACTGGCCGTTGGTTTGGACCTGCCAAAGTTGTCCTTCAAGAAGGAACATCTATTGTATGGATCTCACATGCTGATCGCTTGCTCCGATGCGCACCAGAAAATTTGCGACCTGCATCACTCAGAGAGTGGAATAACTATTCCCTAAATAACATCACCTCAATAGCCTATGATAATCCTCCCTTTAATGCCACCCCTAATCTTGAACCACCTGAATCTCCCGAAGACATGTATGAACCAAGCATTGCACCAGATCCGCCACAGCCAACATCCAATAACAGTGAACAGCCCGAACAAGAAGCCTCACCACCAGCATCCCAACCATCAGATCAGGCTGGAAGTGAGACTGAAACTCTTGAGACTGACCTGGAAACACCCGAAACTGGTGATGCAGATCTCACAGATGATGCGTTGCTGTTGCAAGTAACGGAGTTGCCTGAGCTCGCCCTAGATACCAAGCTGGAGAGGTCTGACAAGGAAACGTCACTGTTTTCATTTGACCTCTTGCACCATGCATCAGAGGAGCATCAGGTCTGCCTTGCCGAGGATGGACTTCCATATTTTGAAGAACCACTAGAGTGTAGCACGGAAGAATGTTTTGTTCTTGAAATTCCTATGAAACCATCCGATGTGATTGCTTGGAATAATGAAGAAAATCCTGAACAGATGTGTCAAGTAGCAGCCGCAAGCCAGAGAGCCAGATCCGAAGTCCAAGTAAAGAATCTCTCAATAGAAGAACGTAAGCTGTTTGAGGTTGCTAAGGATAATGAACTATCATGTTGGATATCCACGAATTCCCTGAAACCCATCTTAAGACAAAAATTGAATCCTGATCAAATTTTGAAAAGTCGATGGGTCCTCACTTGGAAACAAGGTGAAGCAGAAGATGGCAGACCAGCGCAGCGCCGAGCAAAAGCGCGTCTCGTTGTTTTAGGATACATGGATCCTCAAATAACCAATGTTGTCCGAGACAGTCCAACATTATCTAGGGAAGGTAGACATACAATCCTACAATGCCTTGCTGCTTTTCAATGGGAATTGACAAGTTTCGATATCAAGACAGCTTTCTTGCGTGGCCGCGCTGATGAGTCCAATCCATTGGCAATGGAACCACCAAAGGAACTCCGTGAAAAACTGAAACTATCAGACCAACAGGTCTGTGCGCTAGTGGGAAATGCGTACGGACGTGTGGATGCACCACTGTTGTTTTATAAAGAGCTGTCCCGACACCTGCATGATTTGGGCTTCCGTACACATCCCTTGGAACCATGTATTTTCATTCTTGAAACAGGAACTGGAAAGGACAGAATTTTACATGGTGTGTTGGGAACGCATGTTGACGATGGAGTTGGAGGAGGCGACAGTTTCTTTCACAAACAGCTCAAAGAACTTGAAAAACGTCTCCCCTTTGGAAGCTTGAAGTACGGAAAATTTACATTCACAGGTATACAGTTGGAACAGTTACCTGACTTCAGTATAACTGCATCCCAAAAAGAATATATCCATAGAATCTTAGCTATCGATGTCGGTAAGTCACGTAGGGAACAAGCCGAAAGTCCAGCTACAGACTTTGAGAAGACGAAGCTTCGAGGATTAGTAGGTTCCCTTCAATATGCTGTGTCTCACACACGCCCTGACTTGGCGTCCAGACTTGGAGAGGTACAAACACAGATGGCCCATCCAACCGTCCAGACGTTGCTGTTATGTAATCGGGTGCTTCGTGAAGCCCAGAACTTTTCCGATGTCAAGGTTTGCTTTCGCCACATGGATCCACAGAAAATCACCCACGTGTCATTTGGTGATGCCTCATTTGCCAGTCCCCGACAACTCAGTTCATTTCAAGGTTCACTCATCTTCACCACAACTTCCAAACTTAACGACAATGTTGAAGCTCCTATATCCCCAGTAAGTTGGTCTTCAAAGAAGATATCCAGAGTTGTAAGGTCTACTTTGTCGGCTGAAGCATATTCCATGTCCCGAAGCATTGATCGTTTAGGATGGATGCGTTTGCTCTGGGGTGTTTTGGCCTTACCACAATTTCCATGGAAAGAACCCCAAAGGGCCTTTAACATGCTCCCGAAAGCTGTGATCACCACGGACTGCCGAAGTCTTTATGATTTGGTAAGTAGGACGGCCATGCCTTCATGTGAGGAATACCGTACCACTCTTGAAGTCTTGTTGATCAGAGAACAGTGTCAAGAGCATTGCACCTTCAGGTGGATTCCCACCACATTAATGCTGGCGGACTCTTTGACCAAGGTCATGGATACCATGTTGCTTCGCACTGCCTTGCATAAAGGAGTGTTCTGCCTGTATGACGAAGAGTCGTGCCTCCGATACAATGCCCAGCGTAGAGATGCCGTGTCATGGCTAAAGTCACGAGACAAGGACTGAAAGAACTGTTGGTGTTGTTTTGTTAATGTTCTTGGGAAGATAGTCAAAGCAATAATTGTTTTTGGGGAGTGTGAAATTCACTCATGTAGCAACCTTGCTTTGACTTGCAACCTGACTTGTAACATGTCAGCATATCACCGGCCGCTTGAGCACAGGGCTCAGGCAATAGCGGTGGGAAGCGGTAGAGGATTCTCGGTGGACCGAGACTGTTGCAGCCATAAATCTGTGCGGCGGAGCAGGGCTTCGTGGTTGATTTGGCGGGGACCATTTGATTATCTTTTTCTTCAAGGTGAACATCCATTTTGACCCTTCAGGCGAAGGTATCCATCTTAGCAGGGCTAGGAAGTGCTGCCAGTGTGACGGGGGTTGGATCCCTTTCACATATATACTAGTATATATATATATATCGCCTCATAATTCATAATATGCTATAATATGCTATAATATACTTACTAATCAATCAGGTGTTTAGCAGCCACTGCTCACACTGCTCACATATCATCATTGCATCATGTTTCTCTTAGCCCCATTGGCATCCCATCGGAGGTCAGGAAACAAGAGTTCGCTCCAACGGCAAAACGCGTCATCGGCCATGCTGCCGTCCCCGAACTCAGCTACGGTCAGTGCACTAAGGCAAAAACGCTGAGCACAAGATGCGAGACTGATTGATGTGAACATCTCAAGGCTTCCATAGAGATGGCTACAAAAGCATGCATCATGGGAGGACTTTGATGTACACCTTTCTTTTTAATCGTCTTTGGCTATGCGCTTGCATAAAAGCCAAACTGTGCAACTAGTGCACCCTACTCTGCTTCTCTTCAGGGGAAGGTAATGTCGCTCCTATCATTGTTCCTATGTGCATTTCTTGTCTCTTTGAGACAAACGATACTTTTTGACAAAAAAATGAAAAGAATCAGGCCAACTGGTCTGAGGCGACAATTGCACCAAACAGTGCGATGACAGCTGAAATCCCACCTCTTTTCCGCACTTTTTTACTGACCTTGCCATACTGACCCACAATTGCAACAACTTCATACAACTTCACACAACTTCTAGTTGATTGATTCATCTATCTACACTTCAACATTCCAGTAGTCATGGGATGCCATGGGATGTCATGGGATGTCATGGGATTTCAATCTTTCTATGCCACCCAAAACAGCTTGGCGCTATGCACAACGCAACGGGATGACTTTGCCCCGAGTCTGCGGGCCTTGTGCTCCGCTGTGGTGGATCAGCTTTGTACCACGTCCCAGAAAACGATTTCGATTTGAACATCGGAGATTTGTAGAGGAAAGAGGGATATATGATAGATTCATCTTAATTGAAACACAGATGAAGGAGGTGAAACGGTGAACCGAAGATATTGGGACAAAAGAATGATGACCCACAGCGCTTGCCGCTTCTTTCCTGCTTTGTTTTACTGGGACCAGGGATCCGCCCTCAGCCAAATCATGCCGAATCAAACTTGCAACACTGAGTTGTTGGATGACCTTGCCAAAAACGATGGGCAGATCCGGTACCCCTTCTGGTGCCCCCAATCAATTTCAACATAGATGTGCTGGCCACGTTGGCATTGGCATGTACAAACCACGAGATTTCACCTTCGTATCAGTTCACAGTATGCCAGGATTGGTATCCCCAAATCATCCGTTTTAATCGGATTTTAATTGGATTTTCCACTATAAACCATCCATTTTGGGGTATCCCTATTTTAGGCATCCCCCATATGCATCCATATGCTTCCTTTGGCTGACCACATGGCTCCCGAGCCTGGTGAGTCTCATGTCAATGTGTCCTCACCTGGCCTTGGGATCCACCCAACAGCCAGATAAAAAATGATAAATCCTGCTGTGCATTTTCTATCCAGTACTTTTGACCATGTGGTACATCTTTGTATTTCTGTCTTCCTTGAAACAGTCTTAGTCTTAGCATCCACAAGAATGTGACTTCGTACCACTCTCGCCAGGGTCCATGCGCTGCATACATGTCCAAATCTGATTCCTCGTCCAATGGAAGAGGAACGGCGGAATCGTAAACCTGCGCGGGTGAACTTGGGCCAGGATGGGCCAGGGCATACATCACGAATACATCACGAATACAGGATGCACTACAAGAACCAACGGGCAGTTATATATATATATATAATCCGCCGACCCCTGCCGCCAGCAGGGGGAGCGCGTTAGAGGAGGACTGACTAGGGGCTGTCGCCCGCAAGCCCGGCCCGTCCTTCAGGACCGTCCTTTTTGAGACTGGCGAAGGCGCCGTTTTTGAATGTTTGTGACGGCCGGAAAGGGCGCGTTTTTGAAGGTTTGACGGCTGGAAGAGAGCTAGTTTTCTTGTAGGTTCAGAAAGCAACGTTAGGCAGTGGGAGCCGTTGCCCGGAGGCTCGGTCCGTCCTTCAGGGCCCTGCTGTTTTGCTGTGGCGAGGGCGCCGTTTGTGAGCCTTGACGGCTGGAAGAGAGCTAGTTTGGGAGCCGTTGCCCGGAGGCTCGGTCCGTCCTTCAGGGCCCTGCTGTTTTGCTGTGGCGAGGGCGCCGTTTGTGAGCCTTGACGGCTGGAAGAGAGCTAGTTTTCTTGTAGGTTCAGAAAGCCACGTTAGGCAGTGGGAGCCGTTGCCCGGAGGCTCGGTCCGTCCTTCAGGGCCCTGCTGTTTTGCTGTGGCGAGGGCGCCGTTTGTGAACCTTGACGGCTGGAAGAGAGCTAGTTT